AATTTAACTTGTCTATTTCATATTCCAAACAGATGTTGTATTATTATTGTACTCTTTAGCAGATGCTCGTGCACTTGTGACAACGGATTTTGGGATATTTTAGTTGATATTTTACGGGATGGCACAACATTGTCACCTTTCATCTTTATAATTTACTAATCGTGTATGTATTCATGATTCTAAACATGCAAATTTCTTTATTTAATAAAATTCATGATTTCAAAATTAATGAAATGAATAAATGAGTTGGTTGTTCACCACAGGTTTGCCTAAAGGCGACATTGGGCGCCATCATGATCTATAGCAGGTTTTGGGTCATGACAATCCATGATCTTAAAAATTTGTTACCTCCAAGGTAACATAATTAACTTACTTTATGTACTGTTAAAGACGATCTCATTAATGAGCTTACATCAATTGATTTGCGACGTACTCTCACGTACGAAAACATTGGGGTGTAACAACCTTCATTGTTAAGTTATTGAAGTTGTAGCTGTGAAAGCTATTAACATATTGTGGTTGAAGTTATTGATTATTGAGATATCTTTCCTTGTTTAGTGATTTTCTCATTCATTTTGTTGTTATTGAGGTTCTTGTACACATTGTGGTTGAATTGTGGGCTATGCGTTATGGTGACATTGGTATTATTGATTTTGCCGATATTGTGGCATATGGCACGTGTGGTGCGAATTGACTATTGATGCGCATGTGGAGGCATAATACTGGGTATTGATGCCCATGGGGCGAGATAAGGTAGAATTGATACCCGTGTTGCAAGTAAGGGAATTACTTGAAGCCACGCAGTGAGATAAGGGGGCTAAAGCACGTGTAGCTATTTCGAGAAAAATATTTTTAAAATAAATGCAAGGCTCACGCGGTGATATAAGGAAGATTGTGATTGTGACTTGTGAATTGTGAATATGAGGTATAGTACTTCGGTGTGATTCTTGTCGTACATTCTACGCTGGAAATGTTTTGTTGATTTGAACGGTTATTGCTTTGTTTCCTTACCGCATTTCATTTGTAACTTTGATTGTAATTGGTTACTCGTTTTCCTTATCATATATGCACTTTTGTGGTCATTGTTGCTTTTATTTCCATTGTTAGCCTCATATTGATAATTGCCTTATTGTCATTTATTGCCTTTACTTTACCCTTGTTAGATTATATGAATATTCTACATAGGTTGCTACATCTAGCGGGTATCGTGACATGGCCTCGTCACTACGCTATCGAGGTTAGGCTTGATACTTACTGGGTACCGTTGTGGTGTACTCATGCTATGCTTCTACATATTTTGTGCAGATCCAGGTACTTCTGCTCGTATCGAACGCCAGTGAGTTAATCTATATATTTCGAGACTTCAAGGTATACCTGATTGATGCTCACAGGTCTCGGAGTCACCTTCAGCTATTGCCTTTGATGATGTTTATCTTCATATTAAATAGTGTTGTATTTAGAGATTTCTAGTGTATTTCTTTAGAGGTTATGACTCAGTTCCACCGGTTTTGGAGATTTTGTGATTGTTATTCCATATTGTTGTTATTATGAGATTTATCGGTTTAATTTAATATTTTGGTTATTATTTATGCTAAATTCTTAATGTGTGTTAGGCTTACCTAGTCTTAGAGACTACGTGTCATCACAATTACCTAAGGTGGAATTTGGGTCATGACACAAAATATCTTAGAAATAATATTTTTTTTGTTTGAAATGTTATATATGACCGTAACAAAAGAAAAAAAATCATATTTTTAACTATATAATTCATAAGAAAATAACACATATTAATTAAAGCTTGGTAAAAGTTAGGTGGGTTAGGCTCTAACCCAATTTTAACCCATCTGAGCCCAAATAACTTTTGGCGGATCAATATCATGACCCGAATTTCCCACCCTCGGGAGTCGTGATGGCGCCTACTCGTGAAAGCTAGGCAAGCCGAGTATTACATATTTTATTACCCTCTTCCTTTAACCTTATTAACATTTACGAATTTAACAGGTGATCAACAGCGGAATAATCATAATAAATAGAATGCAGAAGACGAAAGCTAATAGTTTAACCAAATACTTATACAAAAAAAATCCAAAATACAACTCTACCCAAACAGCGGTCTGAATGAAAATACAAATCTGTCTCTGAAGTATATAAAAACAGAATGAAAGATAGAAGGGGACGCCAGGGCCTGCGGACGTCTGCAGGACTACCCCGGGTCTCCACCACTTGACTGAAGGCAGCAACCTCTCTACAGTCCAAATGCTCCAACACCGGGATCTGTACACAGTGCAGAGTGTAGTATCAGCACAACCGACCCCATGTGCTGGTAAGTGTCGGGCCTAACCTCGGCGAAGTAGTGACGAGGATAGGACAAGACTACCAAATAAACCTGTGCAGTTATATCATATAGAGCAAATAATAACAACAGAAACTAGCAGTTAAAGATGGGAAGGGGGAACATGCTGCGGGGAATATCATGTACAAACAGAATTTCAGTAAAGAAGCATAAGGAACACCATAAATCAATTATGAGCAAGAACAAGGAAAGACAGTAACAAGCGCACAGCATCACCCTTCGTGCTTTTACTCTCGTTCTCACCATAAGAATCAATATATTCGGCACGACATCACCCTTCGTGCTTTTACCTCACATAATCATGGCACGGCATTATCCTTCCTGCATTATCACTCATATCATGGCACGGCATCACCCTTCGTGGTTGTACATTTACAATATCGGCACGGCATCACCCTTAGTGCATTAATACTCACTCACAAATATCACGTACGACATCACCCTTCGTGCTTTTACACTCACTCACAAATATCACGCACGGCATCACCCTTCGTGCTTTTACACTCTTCCTTACCCAAGCAACAATCACAAAGCAATTCGGGCAAGGCAATCAATAAAATCACAATAGAATCTCGGCAAGGGAACAATAGTATAACAATAATATTCCGGCAAGGGAAAACAATATCACAAGCAATAACATCCCGGCAAGGGAGACAATATCATAAACCTCTTCTCTCTTCCACAATTACTTCACAACTCATCTCTCAACTTGAGCCAATGCTCTACAATGTTCAATTACTAAGAATACTTCCACAAGCCTTGTTTCATATTGAAAATTTTCATATTAGGCATGGATGATACATAACGGAGTCACAACAATCATAGCATAACACTCACGGGCATGCTTGATACCAACGTATAGGTACTCGTCACCACACCTATACGTCGTACTCAACAAGTAACACATAGCAAATAAGACTCCAACTCCTATTCCCTCAAACTAAGGTTAGACCAAACACTTACCTCAATGCCACGAACACAATCAAGCCTCAACTACCGCTTTACCTCTTGATTCCACCACCAATTCGCTTGTATCTAGTCACAATTTACTTAATAACGTTACTAATTGCTAAATAAACTAATTCCGATGCATGAAAATAGATTTCCCCTTTTGTTTTTCCCAAAAAGTCAAAAATCGACCCCGGGCCCGCTTGGTCCAAACCCGAAATTCGGACCAAAACCCGATTACACATTCATCCCCGAGCCCGGATATACTATTGGTTTTGGAATTCGACCTCAATTTGAGGTCCAAATTCCCAAATTTCGATATTCCTAAGTTCTACCCAAAATTCCCAATTCCACCATGAAAACCCTAGGTTCTAGGAAGAAATGTTGTAAAAAGAAGTTAAGGAGTGAAAGAAATGAGTTAAAATCACTTACTTGTGTTTTGGGGAAGAAAAAGTGTCTTGAAAAATCGCCTCTTATGTTTTAGGGTTTTGAAAAATGATAAATGGCTGAAAAGTCTCGTTTATATATACCCCTCTCAGACCCTCACCGCTGACCGCATAAAAAGGATCGCGGCCGCGGAGTTCCACCGCGGACCGCGAAGTATCGAGCGCGGCCGCGAAGATATGACCTTGCCCACCGCCGACCGCGAAAAATCTCACTGCGGTCACGAAGACCCCACCGCGGTCGCGAAGATTCACTGCGGACCGCGAAGCCTGGTTCAGAGACCTGCAACATCTCTGAACCTGCAACAGTTATTTTGTAAGTCTAAATTCACTCCATGGCCTATTAAATACTCACCCGAGCCCTTGGGGCTCCAAACCAAACATGCACGCAAGTCCAAAAATATCATACGGACTTGCTCGTGCGATCAAATCATCAAAATAACATCGACCACTGTGAATTCAACCTCAAACATGAAATCACTCAAGAACATTGAAATTACTATTTTCTCAACTATAGGTCCGTTTTATACCAAACGAACTCTGATTCTTACCAAACTTCACAGATTCAACTTAATTATTATATAAGACCTGTACCGGACTCCGGAATCAAAATACGGGCCGATACCATCAAATTCAAACATCTTTAAATTTTCAAAAACTCTTATAATTTCAGTTAAACAATTTCTTTCAAAAATTTATTTCTCGGTCTTGGGACCTCGGAATTCGATTCCGGGCATATGCCCAAGTCCCATTACTACGGATCTACGAGACCGTCGGATTACGGGTCCGGGTCCGGGTCCGTTTATCAGGAATGTTGACTAAAGTCAACTTTAATTAATTTTAAAGGCCAATTTCCTTATTTTACTTAGATTCACATAAGAGCTTTCCGGAAACGCGCCCGGACTGCACACGCAAATCGAGGTGAGACAAAAGTGATTTTTAAGATCTCGGAACACGAAATTTACTTTCAAAACGAGTGATGATCTTTTGGGTCATCACAATCAATAAACCGCCTATTTATTAACTCAAATCATTTTGATCCGCCCAATATCGGTCAAATCTATCCATTTAACACCGCTAAATAAAGTACTAAATGAACATCCGCGGTATAATATTTTCACAAACACATTAACAATTTAGTGTATTTATAATAGTTTAGTCAATTTTCTTGCCCCAACGTCGCTATTAGCTAATTAAAATTCTGACCAAAGAAGGATAAGTAGTGCAATATTAGTACGTGCCAAGGGATGAGTGGTTAATGTTGACGGCCGAAGCCGAAGTGGATTGAGGTCGTTTTTGACTCTCTACAATTTTTTTTCTAGTACTGTATGTATGACCCACTATCGCTATAGCGCACGTCTCTGCTTAGGTCGGTTGAAACTTGAAAGAAGCTACTGGAAATTGAGAAAATTTAGAAAATGGAAAGGGTGGAAAAAGTGGAGCTCATACAGAGAGCCATAGAGCAGTTAATAGAACAAGAAGAACAAGTCCAATCCAAAAGACGTCAGCTTCTTGAAGAGAGCTTTGTCGCCGTTGATAATACCATCAACAGAGATGATGAAGGTGAAAAGGAAGCCGAGCACCGCCACCAACTCCTCTCCCAACTTTTAACTCAGGTATATATATATATATATAAGTTCAAGTTTTATAGACGAAAAAGGTGTAGTATTTTATAGACGATCTGATCAATATACTCATATTCATATCGAATAAGTGATAGTATGATAAGGAGTATAGATTATACATTTTTCTGTGAAACGGAATGGATTGAATTCAAATTTCATTAGACGCTTTTTATGGATGTCTATTAAGTATCATAAATAAATTACTCTCGATTGTTCAATCATTTAACAATTAAGGTCATTCTTTGATAAATGCTCACGATGAGTTACTCAATAGAACTTAATCAATTGTAAATTTTTTTTAAAGTAAAGAACGGAATCAACTGAATTAATTTTATTGTTCATAGTTTAAATACATACTATCTAGGTAGATCTCACTAAGTTAAGATTTTAGATTATAACGTACCACTAGTAGAAGCAACTAACCGCCATAAGAACCGGGATGAAAGAAGGTTAGATTCTGGATATTGGGCTGGTCTGTTATCATCTTTCCTTTACTTGTTCTTTTAGTTATCAACTAGTATTAGTATTCGTGCGATGCACATACATAAATCATGTCAAATTATGGTTTGGATTAATTGGATTATGTGCAAATAACTTTAGAATTAAACCTTCTATATAGAAATTATAAATAATTATTAGATATTAATTAAAAAGCAGGACATGAAACCATTTTTAACTATCATAATGGATAACTTATTCTTTTTCTATATCCGTAATAACTCAACCCCTTAATTTTGACACTTGTATTTTGTTTTACGGTCAATATTAAAGAATAATAAACATGTAACGTTGTGATCTGTCTTGTTTAATGCATTAAATCATATTATTTTACAAAATTCTTACTATAACTTTCTTTTTCATCTCAAATCCAAATAAGTCATATCCTTCTACATTTTTAGACATATTCTTTTTCTCTTTTTTGTTCCTAGCTTATAGTTTTTGCATTATTTATTACTTTATATTGTTTTATTGTAATGTGATCTTTTATTAGCTTATAAATTGACTTAATGTCTTGCTTATTACCTTTTTAATAAATAATGTAATTTTTTTAAGTTCTTGAAATTTAATATATTTGTATACTATTATCCTCCTACTCGGAACTTTCATCATTTAAATCTACCAATAAAATATATGATTATTGTTTAATAATTTTTAAAATATAAATATCCTCGCACTATCTCTATTTTCCTCTTTGTACATCCTCTTCCCTACTAAAAAAATTTAATTAGTTTTTTACATAAATATTTTACGTATATTCAAAATAATATCATATTTTTATTTTAAAATATAACTTTGAATTAATCTAAAAATAATACATAATTCTTTTTTAATCATTCAAATCTATTAAATTTTCTTTTAATTATTTTTTGCAGTACGTGCAATTAATTTTTTTTTCTCTTTTAGTTTCAAGATATAAATTTGGCTTTTAATTTTCATTAGTAAAATTATTTACATGATATATTTATTTAGTATATTTAATTTTGTAATTTGATATTAATTTTTTATTTTTCTTTATCTAGCAAGACTTCAATTTTGGGGTCATATCCGTATCTTGAGCGATCTCATCATATCTTTAAGAACTTTTTAATCTCAAAGTCAAATGTGTTATCATTTTATTTTTAATATAGATATTTTTGATTAATTGTTTTTCTTACTTTTGCTATAATGTTATATAATATGTAATATTATCACCTTTTTCATGTGATCTTTTATTATATTTACACTTTATTTAATGTTTTTTATCCACTATTATTTTTAATATAAATAGTTAGAAATGTGATTTTTTGATATTAAATTAAATATTTATTTTATTTTTAAACTATTGATTGAAATTCTTAAATAGTTTAAATTTATCAATATATTTTTAAGCATTATATACTTTATTTTTTTCCTAAAGTAATTTTTAGTATAAATATCCTCACGTTATCTCTTATTTATTTTTATTATTCAATATTTTTCTTTTTTTCTTTTATCTATTAGACTTTAGTTATGTTGCTACTCATTGTAATATAATACAAATAAATATAAAAATTATTTCTATTAACTTTGACTCTATTGCTCATATTTCAAAGTGTGATTTTTCTTATCATATTTATTTATAAAAAAAACTAGTAAAGGGTGGCCCTTGCTCAGCATGAGCCAAACATACAAATAGTTTTTTTACGTGTATACTCTAATTATTTTATAAAGAGCATCCTACATCTTAATTTAATAAGAACTAATTTCACTTTCCAGTTAACCATTTGGTTTTAAATTTAATTTAGTTAGATTATGTCTAAAATCTATTTCAACTACTTCCATTAATTATGTTTCAATTGTAATTTTTAATTATTAATGTTGTCCTAGAATTGTCAAGTGATTTCTTTTTAACTTACCACTTGACTTAATCACAATGCATATTACTTTCCTTTTAATATAATATAGACATAGATGATCAGTTCAATGAAACATTGAAACTTGGCAAGTAAAAGGATGTAATTATATAATCATAAGTAGTGCATTGACTTATCAAGTGCTTTCGGTGCAATGCAGGGCATACCAAAATAAGAGCTACCTTTAAGATGCTAGAAAGATCAATTTCTTTTTTAGTTGTCATCATCATAGTAAGTCACAGCCCAAATTCCGGCTAGACCACTTCGTTAAAGTATTGTGTATGGAGGATTAAAGAAAAAATATTTAAGTTATATACACTAACTGACTAACCGTGTGAATATTTTCTTACATTATTAAAGTATTTTGGCCTTTTATTTCATTTTCTTATGGTTACCAATTAATATTTGTACAGAGAATTATTTTATAAGTAATCATCATTTTCTTTTTTTAACATCGGTCAGTGCATAAAATTTATATTCAAAGTGTATTACTCAAATTTAGAACTCTTTTAACAGCTAGAATCGCTGAAAGAAGATACGCCACTTGATCAAATGAGTCAATCAACCAACATAGAAGAAATTCCATCAGATGATGAAGACAGAGAAAAAGAAAAAAATGTTGTAAAAGAACTAAGGAAGATTCAGAAGCAGAACTTTGTCACTCATTGCCTTTTATCAGCTATGATAGTCCTCACCATAACATGGCAACTATCCGAGGTCTCTCTCATTTTGAAAATGAAAGATGGATTAAATAATCCTCTTAGATCCATTGGTAGTATGATTACAAGCTGGATTAAGCGCCCTCCACCTTCATTAAATGTTCAACAAGGCGATTTAAACGACTCTGCCAAGCAGCTAAAGCATAAGGTGGAGGCTATGTCTCTCCCAAAGCTAAAAGTTCCAGAGCTTCCTCATGTGGAGTTTCCATCTTTGGACTTTATCACTGAAGAAGACTAGTAATTCTTTTTTTATTTTCGCATTATTTCAATACAGCAACTTGTGCATGTAATAGCTTGTATATTGTACAATGTAAGGGCATAAAGTTTTGGATGGATTCACTGCGAAGCAAAAGTACTTTATCATCATTTGTTTAAACATAAGTTGAACTTAAGCAATGATACTCATATTTTGATAGATTGATGTCCTCAAATTTCCATCTCCAATAAAAAGATTAAAACAGGGGTTGGAGCAACTCTACGCATTATCCAAACAAATCTGTGTAAACCAAGCCCATGAGGGAATGCCTTGAGACTTCATTGCGTAAAATTATTTCAAGAAACTTGTAAAATTATTTCAAGAAACTTGGATTTCATCCAGAGTATAGAACTTAGAAGAGAAAAATAATTAGCATGAACCGCACCAAGCTAGCTTGTGCGTCTCAGGCATAATTCAACTGAAAAATGTCATTTGAACAGGTAGAAACTTACTTGTGGCATGTTGGCATCAGATGACACATCTGCCAAAAAAAAAAAAATGGAAAAATTGAAGTATAAGAAACTGATTGGACAAAAGCTGTCAAGGTGTCGTAAAAGATAAAATGCTGCACAATTATTTTCAAACGAAAGAATCCTAGAGTCATCAACCAAGGAAAGCTCTAGAGTTATAGCCAATATGGGTATGTTTGGTAAAAAGGAATATTAGCTTGGCTTAAATGCTTTGGAAAATATTTTTTCATGAACTCATTTTCTTCCTATTGGAGAAAATTATTTTCCATATCAAGAGAAGGAAAAATATTTTTCAAAACTCTTTTTCAACTTTCCCACCTATCTCTCATTCCCACTAACTCCCACCAATCCATCCCAACACCTCACCTACCCACCCTACTCCCACCCGCATCCCACCCCTACCCTAAATAGAAATATTATTAATAGTACTTTCTTTTTATGTTATTGATAGAGTACTTTTTCTTTTGTTTCAACTAATGAGTATTTTATTTTCATGATTATAAGAAAAAAATTCATTTGAATAAAAGTACTTCCTTTTCATGACGTATAAAAACTATTTTCTTTCATTTCAACAAAATGATGTAGTAAAAAGTATTTTCTTTCATTTTAATAAAAAAAATATTTTCTTTTCATGATGTAGAAAAATTATTTTCTTTCATTTCAACAAAATGAGTACTTTATTTTCATGTTGTAGAAAGAGTACTTTCTTTTTTAACCAAAAGAAGAGTATTTTTTTTATAGTTATGGAGCACAAATTTTAATATTTTTTTGTGTAAAAGATTAAAGCAACACATTAGTTCTGTCATGACCCAAAATTTCAACCTGTCATGATGAAGCCTAACATACTGGCTAGGCAAGCCGACAATCACATAACAGCTAAATATTTTGAATAAAATATATTTTAGTAAACTCAACGGCGGAAAATCTCATAAATGTGTAATAAAAGTAATTGAAATACTACTACAACCACCCCCAAATCTGGTATCAACGAGTACATGAGTACTACTAAATCTCAACATAAAGCAAACTCTAGTACAACTGTCTGAATAATAGAATAGTACTGAAGGAAATAAAAGAAAGGAGAATCAAGGTTTGCAGGCGTCGTAGCAGCTACCACAAAGTCTCCGAGCAGTGCCAACATAAATCCAGCAATCACCACATCCAAATGTACCTGGATCTGCACACGAAGTGCAGACTGTAGTATGACTATAATCGACCCCATCTACTAAATAAGTAACAGAACTAACTTTGGGTTGAAGCAGTGACGAGCTTAGAAGGATACAGTCAGAACCAATATAATGACAACACAAGTAAGATAATGACAATGACAGTAAATAACTCGGAGAAACTTCTGTATTCAGCTCGTTCATGGTGCAGACATTTAGACATGCTTCCAAGTTCACAATTAAAGACCAAAATTAATAATAACATGTTAAGTATAGCTAGCATAAGGAATGGTATATCTCTATGCCTACATGTCAAATATGCATGTCAAACGTGAGGTATCACAGTGATATTCCAAGGTACGCACAGTACTCAATCTGTCTATCTCAAATACCTACTCATCACACACACACAATCACTCAGTACTGTACGAGTGCCTGACATTAATGCCCCTCACCAAAGCAATGTATAAATCACTGTGCTTGTGCATACTACTGGTATGTCAGACTCCAGAGGGGCAGAACCTCGCCAATCGCTAATATAAAACCTATAAGGCCTACTGCGGTGTGCAACCCGATCCACAATAATAAATAATCCAATAAGGCTTGTCGCAATGTGCAACCCGATCCACAATAACACTGACAACACGGCTCTCAGGCCCATCTCTGTCATCAATCTCTCAAGTCTCAAGGGCTCACAAATCTCGTACCACTCAGCCCAGAGACGGATCCAGAATTTAAATTCTATGGGTTCAACCTTTAAAAATTTTAGTATTTAATCTATTATATTTTTAAAATTATGGGTTCAAATCTACTATTCGTTGCCGCTTTAATGAATTTTACACATACATTTATACTCTGCGACAAAAGTACTGGGTTTAGCTGAACCCGGTACCGAAGGGCTAGATCCGCCTCTGACTCAGCCCAAATAATAATAACATGTGATGTAACAATGAGTGATAACAGAGACTGAGATATGATATACAAATGAAGAACCATGACTGAGTACATAATTACAGTTAAAGTAGATAACTCAAAACAGCAAAATTAACCTCATTAGGCCTCAACCGAATAAGCACGTAGCCTAAACATGATTTATAAAATGAATCACAGTCCAATTACTCAAAAAAGTAAGGATTTCACTGATAGACCAAGACTTGAGAACAACGCATTACAAAAAAAATCCACCGGGTCATAATTACCACAATGCATGCCCACACGCTCATCACCTAGCATATGCGTCAACCTAACACAACACAAAATTTGCAGGGATAGATACCCTCAATTACAAGTTTAGAAATGTTACTTACCTCAAAGCGTGCAACTCACTACTTCAACAAGCCCTTGCCTCGCGAATTGACCTCTGAACGACTCGAATCTCTTCAATTATAACCCTCTCAAAATCTCCCCTAGGCGAGCTCCACAAGTCCAAAAAAATGAGAGAAAATACAAAACCCTTCATTTAATCCTTTTGCCCAGGCATGATCGCATCAGCGCCCAAACTTCTGCTTCTGCACATGCGGAAACCACTTAAGCTCCCGACCTAGTGCACATGCAGTCCTCCTTAACGCGCCCGCGGGACCGCTTTCGCAGTCCATACACTCCACCTACGAAAATCCAACATCTTGCTGGCCTCCTCTTCTACGCTCAAATCTCCACTTCTGCGGGCTCGCAAATGCGGATCTTCCTCGCATCTGCGCTTCACCACAAGTCTTGCCTAGCCCGCTTCTGCGACCACATGTCCACTTTTGTGGATTCGCAGATGTGGAAATCCTTTCGCACCTGCGCTCCTAAGAAGCCTCACCAATTCATTGCACTTGCGCACAAATGGCCGCTTCTTTGGCTTCGCACCTACGGCCAAAACCTCACAGGTGAGTTACATCAGAACTATAGCAAACAAAAGTTCCTTAAGTCCAAAACTTAATCAGATTTCAATCGAATCTCCCCCGAGGCCCCCGGGACCCCATCCAAATATACCAACACATCCTAAAACACAGTACGAACTTAGTCGAAGCCTCAAATCACATCAAACAACATCAAATTCATGAATCACACCCCAATTCAAGCCTATTGAAAATAACTAACTTTCAACTTCTAAAACCAATGTCGAATCATATCAAACCAACTCCGATTGACCTCAAATTTCGTGCACAGGTCATGAATTACACAACGGACCTACTCCAACTCGTGGAACTGAAATCCAAACCTGATAGCAACAAAGTCAACTCTCGGTCAAACCTTTCAACCTTCCAAACCTCCAACTTTCCAACGTTCGCTAATTTAAGCCAAAACGACCTACGGACCTCCAAATCAATATCCGACCATATGCCTAAGTCCAAAATCACCTTACGAAACTATTAGAACCATCAAAACTCCATTCTGGAGTCATCTACACAAAAGTCAAACTCCATGGAAGATATTTTCCTTCATATGAAACACAACCTATATAATTTTGTCACGACCCAAATCTCCCTCCATATGATGTCGTGATGGCACATAGTCTCTAAGACTAGGTAAGCCTAACATACATGAAAATATTTTCCTTCATACTAGAAACCGAAAATGAATACCTTAACAAGAATGGTATTTCAACAATTACAGCTTTTCCTCAATGTGAATCACGGCCTTTATAACTTCAACGCCAATTTAAGCAATATGAGATTCCAAGAAATAACAACTTCAAGTAAGGTAACTAAACAGTTAAATATTCAACAAGAAAATGAGAGAACACTAACTTCAACTAAGCATGTAAAGGCAATTAATAAGTAGGAGATGAGACAAGTATTAAAAATGTCAAGTGAAGCATGTGAAGATAGACTAACGATGATGGATATCACATGTTATGACAACTCAATTAAAGGCATGGAAAGAGTCTACATAGCTTAAACCGGTCAATTACCACGTTTAGCCCGTGTACCCACTCGTCACCTTGCATACACGAATTCCACATACCACAATTAACACAAAACAACACTAATTCTATGGGGGTAATTCCCCCACACAAAGTTAGGCAAGACACTTACCTCAAAACACGCTAACTCAATCCACTAGTAAGCCTTTTCCGCGATTATCCAACTCCGAACGACTCGAATCTAGACAAAATAACTTTATACCATAAATACAAACCTTAGGAAACTATTCTAAATAATAAAGTTGTAATCTTTAAATAAAATCAAAAAGTCAACTAAAAATGTCAAACCCAGGATCGCGTCTCTGAACCTGACCAGACTTACAAAACATGAATACTCATTCGATAAAGAGTCCAACCATACTAAAAAAATTCAAATCCGACCTCAAATTGCCTTTCAAATCCTCAAAATATAGCTTATGGAGTTTTCATAGTTTTCCCTAATTTTTCTAACCCAAAACACTAATTAAATGGTAAAAATAATAACGGGTTTATGTAAAATAATTGAATCCGAGTTAGAATCACTTACCCCGATCAATTCCTTGAAAATCACTCTCAAAATCACCACTACATGAGCTCTTTATGTCAAAACATGAAGG